CCAAAGTCAATGAGATTCAAACTCGATCAAGATTTTTAGTAGATACACCTATGGTATCCATTTGAAACTCCTAGGTTGCTTCTTTTTAGAGTTATCACATTCACAAACTTGGTTAAAAATTCTATTCAAGCCTCGGCTTACATCATGTGTCGTATGATCTAAGCGTCAATGTAGAACAATAAAAGTGTTATAAAATTATTTGTAGAAAACAGGAAAAAAACCATCAAGGAACAAAGTTGTGTCCAAGAATCTATATTTACTACTGACGCTCACCAGAAAAACAGACGTGTGCAACTTTTGACCCTCCAAAAATGCATGAATAGAAGTCTGAAGGAATGGCGATGTCATTTTGCAAAGATCTGATTGGTCGGTGGGTGCTGATTTCAGACCTGCTTATATCTAATCTCGAGGAGGAGGATCATGTATGAGGTGCTGTGACTGCTGCGGTATACAGTGCATACCTGACTGTACGTGGTAACAAAGTTAACTTGGCAATGATCAAACTATCAACAGCTGCAGGGAGCTTATTAAACACCCCTCATCGCAGAGCTCGGCCTGTAACAGGCTGGCAACCTGTCCAGGGTATATATACCACACCTGTTGTCCTAAAATATGTCAGCTTGAATAGTCAAATTTGCACAGACAGAAACAAGTCTGGGTGCTTTTAGAAGTGAGAGTCAAGGGAAGTCTTCTTTTTCAAGTTAACATTCGAATAAAAATGCATGAAAAATGTTACTTACTACGCTTTTAAATATTTACTTCTCCTCAAAAAATTTTGGAATGTCTCATTGGAGTTGGGAGCTGGTTGCTGCCTTATAGGATGTGCATTTGTAATAGCACTTGATCTCTTTATAAACTTGCAATAAAATGACGAGTTCAGAAGTGGCATGCTCTGAGCTTTATCTCATCTGAAGCTGCAGTGCAGCACTGTGATATAGTGGCATTCTTTAAGGTATTTATGGAGCCCATAGATAACTCACCGAAGCACCAAACGGGCTCTGTGCTGATTTTACGTAAGCTACATCAAGCTACACACGTCAGCCATACTTTTTTGTTCTCTTTGTCAGGCCACTCTTACCATTGTGACGACTTTCCCCATCTCGTTAAACTAAATGCGCCTGAACTGAAGTCCTGAATGTTTG